CTCCCTCCCACCCCCCATCAACCCTCAGTTTATTCTCAGTTTTTAAGAGTCTCTTATGGTTTGGCTCCCTCCCTCTCTAACTTTTTTTTCCCTTCCCCTCCCTCATGGTCTTCTGTTAAGTTTCTCAGGATCCACATAAGAGTGAAAACATATGGTATCTGTCTTTCTCTGTATGACTTATGTCACTTAGCATAACATCCATAAAAATTTTTAATGAGAAAAGGTATACCTGCTTGCTATAATTTTTAACAAGCAAAAGAATATAAATATTCCCTTTCATTATTCCTTCTTTTAGAAATTCCTCTACCTTCTGTTAGCTGGTCATGCTGTATCTTTCTGAGCTTTTTTTTCCTGTTCATTTTCATGCTCACACACAGATACGTACATGAGTTTTACAAGTACCGTGAATGAAATTATTCTGTATAGTCTTTGTATTCTATTTTGTGGTTTCTTTTTAAAACTTCGTATCTTGAAGAATTCCCCTAAGAGTACAAATAGAAAAACCTCATTTTTTTTTTTTTAAAGAGAGAGAGAGAGAGCAAGGGAGTGGGTGGAGGGGGAGAGAGAGAGAGAGAGAGAGAGAGAGAGAGAGAGAGAATCTTACGCAGGCTCTGTGCTCAGTGCAGAGCTCCACATAGGGGTAGATCCCATGACCCCGGGATCATGACCTGAGCCAAAATCAAGAGTAGATGCTCAACCAACTGAGCCACCCAGGCGGCCCAAGAAAAAACCTCATCCTTCTTAGCCACCACATCACGTTTCAGAGTTCATATAGAACTTTTAAAATGTATTTAGTAATTCTTCCTACGGATGGATATGTAAGCTGTTTTAAAATTTTCTCTATTATATTATTAATACTCATATATACATTTGTCCAGATGTGTAGGTATTTTTGCAGGATGGATTGTCAAAGTAATATTGTTTCATCAAAGGTTATGATTTGTTATCAGAATCTATAGCATATTGATGATGTTGCTGAATTGACCTACAAAAATGTGATTGTTTATAGTCAGGTGAGCAGTGATGAAAATGCCTGGTTCCCCATTTCCTTGTGAAAACTGCATAATATCGGTTTTTCAGTGTTTTGTAATTTGATGGGAAATAACTAGTAAGATCAGTGTTGTTTCACATTTTTTATCACTTTTTTTCTTTTCCTCATTCTTACTCTTTTACCTAATTATATCAGACTGTCTTTTTATTTTTGATTTGAAAGAGCTTTATACTCTTTACATATTATAGCAATTTACCCCCTTTCTGTTTAAGTTTATTTATTTTTAGATATATAGAGAGCACATGTATGCAGTTGGGAGAAGGGCAGAGAGAGAATCCCAAGCAGACTCCGTACTGTGAGCGCAGAGCCTGATAACAGGGCTCGAACTCATGAACCCTGGAGATCATGGCCTGAGCTGAAATCAAGCATGGGATGGTTAACTCACTGAGCCACCCAAGTGCCCCACCTCCTTACTGTTATATGTTGCAGATTATTTTCTTCCAGTCTGTCACCTCTTTTAACTTAGTGTGTGGCCTTTTGTTGTGCATAAAAGTTTAGTTTCTGTCTGTTGTTTTCCTTATGGCTTCTGGGTCTTCTGTCTTATTTAGGAATGACTATGCTCCCTTAAAATTACGTATATATTTTTCTCGTGTTTGTTATATTTTTAAAAATGTTGTGATTATTAATTCAATTGGAACTTATTTTGAAAGGTAGTGTGAGGCAGGGGAGGGACAGAGAGAGAGGGAGACAGAGAATCCCAAGCAGGCTCCACAGTGTCACTGCAAAGCCCGATGTGGGGCTCGATCTCATGAACCTTTGAGATCATGACCTGAGCTGACATCAAGAGTCAGATGCTCAACTGACTGCACCACGCAGGCACCCCTATTTTTTTAATTTGTATAACTTTGTAATGTATTTTGATATCTGGTAGGGATATTTGTTCTTTTGTTTTAAAAAGTCAACTTTCTTAGTCATTTATTCTTCCAAATGAAATTTGGGAACAACCTTTTAGTTCCAGAAACATTTTCTCTCTAAATATTTGATGGGATTATGTAAAGTTATACAAATTGAAAATCAATTTGTGTAAAATTGACATTTTTTATAATATTGACTTTACCCTTCAGGAACATCACATGTCTCTGTTTTCAGGTCTCCTTTACATCCTTAGGTATAGAGTTAGAGATGTCTTCATTATATGTTGTGCAAATTATTCCGAGACAATCTATTGTTTTATCTTTCTCCGATTGTTTTATTTTCTATTTCTTTTTTTACTGAGGTATAACATATTCGTTTCATGTGTACAACATGATGATTCAATATTTGTATACACTACAAAATGATCACCATAATAAGTCTAGTTACCATCTGTCACCATACATGGTAATGAAATTTTTTGTGTGTGTGATGAGGCCGTTTAAGATTTAGTCTCTTAACGCGTTATTAACTATAGCTAACATGCTGTACATTATAGTCCCTGTTGTTTGTAAATGGGTTACTATAGGATCGAAGGCCAGAAATAGTAGGTGATTTGCCTAAATTTAACTGGTTAGTAACAGAGTAAAGATCAGAAACCAAGACTTCTGATTGGTCCCACTCCCCAAAAATTCAGCTTCTTCCTACAGTCTCACTCTTGTCACTGCCTCTGTCTCTTAAAGGTGACTTCAAGTTGAATAATGAATCTGAGTGAAAGAAATATAACATAATTCCATAAGTCTGAATCACAAGAAATTGGAAAAATAGACTGTTATAAGGTTAAAATTTCTCAAATTTAATTCATGTTCAAAGTGAGTAATATGTATGTTGGTAGAATTTCAGGAGATTTATTTTGTAATGTTTATTTATTATTCATTTTTGAGAGAGAGAAAGAGCTAGTGGGAGGGGCAGAGAGAGAGAGAGAGAATCCCAAGCAGGCTCTGCACAATCCCCGCAGAGCCCTATGTGGGGCTCGAACCCACAGACTGTCAGATTGTGACCTGAGCTGAAATCAAGAGTCAACTGAAAGGTCAACTGCCCCGAGAAGATTTATTTTTAACCTAATGTTTCTTTAAAGGCTTCCCATAAGTGGGACGCCTGGGTGGCTCCGTTGGTTAAGCATCCAACTTCAGCTCAGGTCTGGTTTGTGGGTTTGAGCCCCGCATTGGGCTCTCTGCTGAAGGCACAGAGCCTGGAGCCTGCTTCGGATTCTGTGCCTCCCTCTCTCTCTACCCCTCCCTCACTCACAGTCTGTCTCTCTCGCAAAAATAAATACATATTAAAATTTTTTTTTTCAGTTTTGTATATCCTGTTTGTTTTTAAATTAGATACACGACATTCATACTTACGTATTAGCTTATTATCCACACTGATGTCTTTTTTTTTTAATTTACATCCAAATTAGTTAGCATATAATGAAACATGATTTCAGGAGTAGATTTCTTGGTGCCCCTTACCCATTTAGCCCATCCCCCCTCCCACAACCCCTCCAGTAACCCTCAGTTTGTTCTCCATATTTATGAGTCTCTTCTGTTTTGTCCCCCTCCCCATTTTTGTATTATTTTTGTTTCCCTTCCCTTATGTTCATCTGTTTTGTCTCTTAAAGTCCTCATATGAGTGAAGTCATATGATTTTTGTCTTTCTCTGACTGACTAATTTCACTTAGCGTAATACCCTCCAGTTCCATCCATGTAGTTGTAAACGGCAAGATTTCATTCTTTTTGATTGCCGAGTAATACTCATTGTGTGTGTGTGTGTGTGTGTGTGTGTGTGTGTGTGTGTATATATATATATATATATATACATATATATACCACATCTTCTTTATCCATTTATCCATCGATGGACATTTGGGCTCTTTCCATACTTTGGCTATTGTTGATAGTGCTGCTATAAACATGGGGGTGCATGTGTTCCTTCCAAACAGCACACCTGTATCTCGTGGGTAAATGCCTAGTAGTGCAATTGCTGGGTCGTAGGGTAATTCTGTTTTTAGTTTTTTGAGGAACCTCCATACTGTTTTCCAGAGTGGCTGCACCAGCTTGCATTCCCATTAAAAAAAAACTTTTTTAAGGCTTCCCATAAGTGAAATCTCAACAAATCTTTTTAAACACTAATTTCAAACTTCACCTACAAAATAAAGCTATACGACATCATTCCGTTCATAAATTGAAAAGCATTATAATTAAGCTTAGCATTTGTCTTTTATTTAGTATGGTTGCAAAGCAGAGTTGTTTGATCACTGTCAATACTTGACAAACTGATGGTAGTTTTAGCAATTGTCAGGGCACTGTAAATCCATCATCAAGTACTTTAATGTCAGGGGAAATCTGCAAATTTCAGTAAATATGATATCAGCATTATTTATCAAAACTTAAAGTAAGGGCAGTAAGGGGCGCCTGGGTGGCTAAGTCGGTTGGGCGTCTGACTTCGGCTCAGGTCATGATCTCGTCATCCATGAGTTTGAGCCACGCGTCAGGCTCTGTGCTGACAACTCAGAGCCTGGAGCCTGCGTCAGATTCTGTGTCCCCCTCTCTCTCTGCCCCTCCCCACCCACGCTGTGTCTCTCTCTGTCTCTCAAAAAATGAATCAATGTTAAACAAAGTTAAAAAAAAAAAAGTAAGATCAGTAACATGGATAGATTCTGGCTTAGTGATGTGTCCTAACAATTTCTACAGGTGGCTAGTCAGGAGGGATGCCTGATGCATTGTGTCCCTCAATTATGCAAAGGTCTTTAGACACCTTCTTTAAAGTAAGCAGATATTTATGCTAATTCCATATTGGAAAGAGAAGAACTCTGAAAGATTTAACTGCCTCTCTATCATTTTTCTCTATTTTGGAGGCCAGTTGAAGAAGTAAAGGTCACAACATAAAATAGAGAGGACGTGGTTTGTCTTGCTTCAGGAGGTGTCTGAATTTCCAGCACTTGTGGAGATAGTCATCAAAATGCTTGAGAAAGTCTAAGTGCCATATGGAAGCAGTACGTGAGGATGAGGAATCTGACATCCTTGTTTTCAGGAGTGGCTCCTACCTCAGTAATGAGCGAGTTATGAACCTTCCATGACACCTCTTGGGTGTTCAGAAGCCAGGTGGAGCCTCCCACAAGTGAATGGCAGGACATGGATAAGCCTTGTATTTTAATAAAATCCTTATGTCACTGTTCACAGGAGTCTCACAGAACTTCTTAGATCCTACTGTTGAAGTCTGTGGCTCCTCTCTGGTGAAATGGATCCTGGGAAGATGTGGCACAGAAGGTAATCCAGTACATTAAGTATGATTCTTGTACTTTGTCTTGCTGTCCTTCATCCAGTTCCTCTTGACAGGAAACATATTTAAAACAATTTTTTAAAATTTATGCATTTCTTTTGAGAGAGAGCATGAGTGTGGTGGGGGCAAAGAGAGAGGGAGAGAATTCCAAGCAGGCTCCTTGCTGACACAGCACAGAGCCCAACTTGGGGCTTGAACTCTTGGACTGTGAGACCATGACCCAAGCCCAAGTCAAGAGTAAGATGCTTAACTGACTGAACCACCCAGGTGCCCCCAATGCGTATTGTTTTAAAAAATGAAATGTTCTTATTTTAAAGATGAAAACATTTAAAATAATCACATGTAAACTTCAGTATCTCTGTTTGTCCCTTGTTCTCGTGGCTGTGCACACGAACCTGTAAGCTCAGTCAGGTAAGCCTCCACTCTTTCAGGTAGCAACTACACCTTAGATGAGAATACTGGGGATCGGGTGCGCAGATGGGCTGGAAATGGCTGTCTCAGGATATCCATGTACCAGCTTTTTACTGGGGAATTGATGCTCTTTTGGCTGACCCATATCTTCTTTACTAAAGAAGAGTTGGAAGGGAGCTTTGCATCATGTAGCTTGCCTGGTTGGCAATTTTGGTGCTTTCTTAGCCAAGAAGCAAGGGGTTCATCAAACCAAGTTTGAGCCTTCAGCTCCACTTGGAGAATCGTGGTGGTTGGTGTAAGAATCAGCAAAGTCTTAGAAGTTCCCTGTCATGCGAGGCAAATTATAATTTGGTGCATAACTGAAATGTGAGTATTTTTTGAGTTGTTTGGTATCCTGGGCACAGAGTTCCCGATCTTCTGTGGCCGGCATCATGTGTGTTTTTTGTGTTTGTGTTATAATTACACGTGACATTTCATCTTCTTCTCACTAGGTGTGTTTCATCCTTTATTTGAATAGGTAAGCCAAGATACAAATCTGGTCTTGAGCCAGATAAATTCGGGTGACACAAAAATTAAGTGATTATTGAGAAGGAAGCATTTCATTACCCTCTTACCGTGTTTTTATATCCAGTAGAACACCAGTATTGGAGATTACAAGGATCTTAAATATGATGGAAGGTACTAAGACCCTGAGTCTTCTTTAAATATTACCAGTGAATAGAAGTGGATATTCATTAATCAATTAACACATATTTATTGAATGCCTCTGAGTTTAAAGAGTTTGAGGTACTGCTGTGAGACTCTGTAGTGATCTCAACAGCACTTCCTAGAAACTCAAATGGGGGGGGTGGCATTCGTATTCAGCCAGATTCAGGTGTAGTTCCAGGGAGACCGTTCCTTAGAGAGAGTCAGATAACCTCTCCCAGCCTGCTCTTGACCATTGGCCCCACATAACTACGACACTGACTTCCTGTTACACTCACGGAAAATGGAATGGTGAGGTTCTCATGAACTTTTAAGTCAAAGTGCTGTTGTTGAAACTCATGCAGTGCGACATAACAGTGTGTGGTCAACAACTAAAATAAAAAAGTAGTATTCTTTACTTCTGTGAGTTTAAGAAAAAACTGTAAGTTAAGTATGAGCCTGTGTGGTGAGAACTGCCTTGTCCTCTATCTGCCCTGCGGTCTTTTAATTCTTGTATGCCCTTTCCAGACCCAGTATTGCCCTGGTTAAATCGGCCTAGGGTAACATCCTGTGTTGAGTTTTTTTCCAGGGCACAATTCTCTGTATGAAGACTCAGCAACAAGGTCACCTTGGTGGCTCAGTTGGTTAAGTGTCCAGCTCTTGGTTTTTGGCCTCAGGTCATGATCTCAGTTTGCGGGCTTGAGCGCCATGTCAGACTCTGCACTGACAGTGTGGAGCCCGCTTGGGATTCTCTTTCTCTCTCTGCCCCTTTTCTTCTGGCTTTCTCTGTCTCTCTCTCAAAATAAATAAATTTTTAAAAAGTTAAAAAAAAAAGAGTCAGCAACATTTTTATGGAAGGGGCCAGATACTTTAGATTTTACAGATCTGTTAGTTTCCTAGGCTGCCGTAATAAAATACCACAAAAACTGAAATTTGTTTCTTTTGGTGGTTCATATCAACAGATATTTACTCTCTTAGAGTTTTGGAGGCTCTGAACAAGAAACCATTCCACGTCTCCTTTCAAGCCTCTGATGGTTGCTGGCAATCCTTGGTGTTCCTGAACTAGTAGATGCCTCGTTTCAATCTCAGCCTCTATCTCCACATAAATTCCTTCCTTCTGTGTATCTGTGTACCTTCCTGTTTTTATAAGGACACTAGCCATTGAATCTAGGGCCTACCCTAACCCAACATGACCTCATCTTAATTTCATCTACAAAGACCCTATTTCCAAATAAGTTCACATTCTGAGGTTCTGGGTGGATGTGAATTTTTGGGAGATATTATTCCACCATTCCAGAGGGCCATATGGTTACTGTTGGAATGACTTAACCCTGTTGTAGCATATAAGCAGCAATAAACAATACATCAATGAATCAGTGGGCTGTGTTCCAATAAAATGTTATTTATGGACACGGAAATGTGAATTATACGTGATTTTCACATGTCATGAAACATTGTTCTTCTTCTGATTTTTATCCAGCAATGTAAAAAACTATTCTTAGTTTGTGGATCATAGAAACAGTTAAGAGATGGGACAGGGAACAGCCAGATTTGACCCACGGGTCATAGTTGGCCAACATGTGATAGTGTCGGTGGGCAGACAGAGGTAACTATCGGGTAATTTTCCTTCCTTCTGCTCATAAACCAAAGAGCCAAATTTGTGGAAAACCTGTTTGTGATTTGCATCAAGCAATTTTTGTTAGATAGCTTCATGTTTCAGCAGAGGGAAAACCAGACTGATCGGTAATGATGCTTGTTTGGCAGCATCATTCCTGATACGCTTGCCAAAATTTTGGAGAGGATTTTGTTGTCAAGATTAAGAGGTGATGCAGGCTTAAATGAAGAACATGACCTGGAGTCCTTATGCTGAAGGATTAGAACATTTCCCTCATGGGCTCGTAGTATTCCCTGTGCCAAATGTTGGAGTATACTTTGGAGGTGATTTTAAATTAAAGGCATTTTATGACTCAATACTACATGGCATCCTTTGAGATGTTGTCAATCCCTAGATACCCATTCAGGGCCAGATATTAGATAATACTCTGCACATCTGCATTATCTTCTAATGCTAAGAGTTCCCAAGTCATCTAGAGGCAAAGTAAACCTGAACTTTCTGATTTATCGTGTGTATTCTTTTTCATCAGATGTATATGATACACTTTTTTAAACTCATTGTTAAAGACTGTGATTATATATATGCCTTTTCAAATTGCAAAACCGATGCATGATCTTTATAGGAAATTTGAATAATGCCAAAATGAGTAATATAAAGAGTGAAAGTTTCCTATAATCCCAATTCCCAGAGATAATTTCTGAGATCTTGGTATTTATTTTTCCAAAAATTTCCACCCCATGTAATTGCGAAAGCAAATGAAACAGTACACTGAACGGATAGTTTCCATGTTTTAAGGAGATGGAGGGAAAAAGCTCATGAACGTAAAGAACAAAATGTATGACTAGGTATACAGATAGTCCCCAACTAACAACGATTCGACTTCTGACTTTTTGTCTTTATGATGGCACAAAAGTAGTATGCATTCAGTAGAAACTGTACTTTGGCAGGGCTCTTGGGTGGCTCAGTCGGGGATATCGCGGCTCAGGTCATGATTCGGCTCAGGTCATGATATCGCGGTTCATGACTTCGAGCCCTGTATTGAGTATATGGAACCTTACGTAGAGGTTGCTGAGAGCTCAGAGCCTGGAGCCTGCTTCTGATTCTGTTTCTCCCACTCTCTCTACCCTCCCCCACTCACGCTCTCTGTCTCTCCCTCTCTCTCTTTCAAAAATAAATAAATGTTAAAAAAAAAAGGTAGAAACTGTACTTTGAAGTTTGAATTTTTATCTTTTCTGAGGCTAACGTTATTCATATATATATATATATATAAAACAATGATATTATATTATACCAGGCAGTGGCAACCAGCCACAGCTCCCAGGCAGCCATGCGATCATGAGGATAAACAACTGACACACTTATAACCACTCTGTACCAGTACAGACCTTCTGTTTTTTGCTCTCAGTACAGTATTCAATAGAATATATGCGATATTCAACAGTTGTTATAAAGCAGGCTTTGTGTTAGATGATTTTGCCCAACTGTAGGCTAATACAAGTGTTCTGAGCATGTTTAAGATAGGCTAAACTATGATGTTCAGTAGGTTAGGTGTATTAAATGCATTTTCTTTCTTTCTTCTTTTTTTTTTTTTTTTTTAAAAAGTAGGCTTCATGCCCAATGCAGAGCCCAATACGGGGCTTGAATGCATGACCCTGAAATCGAGACCTGAGATGAGGTCAGGAGTCTGACATTTAACTGACTGAGACATCCGGGTGCCCCTGAATTTTCAACTAAAGGTATTTTCAATTTACGATGGGCTTATCAGGAGGTAACCCCCTTGTGAGTAGAGGAAGATATGTAAATATCTAATTATGCATTGAACTCATAGTATGCTGATAACAGGATATGAAAAAGTCATATTTCCTGATCTTAAGGTATATATCTTTTGTTTTTGTTTCCATTCCAATAAGCAGAGAACGACCCACCGTAAGTAATGACTTACATATATATATATATAGATATATATATATATCTATATATATATCTATAGATATATATATATATCTATATATATATATATATCTCAAAATCTTGTTATTCAGAAACTCGCTAGGCCTTGGGTTTGGCAATGAATCTTTTCTCTCTGCTACAAAGAAATTCTAAACAGCTATCCCTCCACCTTCTTCGAGGACATCAATATTTTAGTGAGGTTTTACATCAACACATTTTAGTAGAGGTTTTATCTACTGGGAATTGAGATAACTTGTGACCTTCAGTTTGATCTAGGTAGGAGTTGATTGCCAGGATCTGAAGTGGATTTCAGTAATAACTGGTGTG